AATGAACCTGCGCATTAACAAAACGGTTGGTGTTTTCCTGCCCGAAAGATTAGCAACATGTACTGTTTCCAATACTAGCACTTGCTAGCTTGACAGCTGCATCCCTACACCAGGTTTGAAAGCATGTCCACGAATGGCTTTTTCCGTTTGATTGTAATTTCTGATGTGTCAAGTCCGAAGGCTTCACAGATGTTCTGTAACATTGACACTGAAAGGGAGCTAAGCTTGGTGTTAATGACTAGCTCACAAATGTTGTAGGAGTCATACATACATACATACATACATACACACACACACACACACACACACACACACACACACACACACACACACACACACACACATACATACATACATACATACATACATACATACATGCATGCATGCATGCATGCATACATACATACATACATACATACATACATACATACATACATACATACATACATACATACATACATAAACTTTATTAATGTGTCTTGGAATGACACATTAATAAAGTAGATTATAGATTATATAGATTATAGATCATAGATTATCCTATGTGAATGCCGGATGCTTACTTCAGACAAACCCTTGTCCTTCAGCACATTTTGAGGGTCTTCACCTGCAGTTTCATCCTCGCTATTACGCTGGTCTACCTCAACACTTCGCTTAGCAGCAAGGCGAGAGGAGTAACTGCTAATTTGCTGGCTCGTGAGAAAATCGCCATAACCGCATAGCCTCCCCACGTTACTATCGTTCGCAGTTCTCATGGCCTTAGAGAGGTCAGTCGGCTCGGCCTTCTTCCCGGTTCTCTCTCCAATTTGAAACTTGACATTTAGGTACTGCTTTTGCTTATCAGTAAATTTCGTGCGACGTGACGGTGGCGATTTCAGTGCCCATCCCGTCCTGAGAGTAACTGGGGTTGCTATTGAAGCTACTTCCCTCTACCACTACTAGAATTTTGCTTGCGCCATTATTATTAAGTCCAGTTTAGTCGCGTATTATATCATGGCCTTGTCATAGACTGATTCGTGCTTTAGTTAGTTTACGCTTGTCGTTTCCACAGTCTAAGTGTTTGACATGGATGCCGCATAAAAGACTTGATGCATCCCTCTTCCGGGCACGTGAATAACCGAGAATTAGTAGCAGAAGACAGAGTAACGCTTGATTTATCTTCACTTTCGGAACTGTCTTCTTTCTCTGTCACAGGAGAATGGCCAGCTGTTCGTCTCAGTTTTACTGGAACAAAGCTCGTACTGGCCTCGCTCATCGAAGGACTAGCCTCTATTGTCGGAAGTTCGCATTCTACAGGAATTCTGAACTTTGTCCATGGAACACTTTTCCCAGGGCCAATGTCGTAGGCTCTCCATGTTCTTATCCCGTCATGGCTGAAGTGGAGGTTACTGACGTAGCTCACCTTCTTCCACTTCGTGCTCTTGTTGGATGGAGCGTCAGGAGGAATTCAAACTTTCACGCTCACGCCGCGAACACCCCCGCAAGACTAGATGGCTTCCTTTAACTGTGCAGCCGTCTCAATGTCGTGTCCGGAATTCAGACGTACTGCCACGTGCGACTTAATCGTAGCAGCCTTGCGATCGCACGCACCTTTCCTTGCCTGTGACTCAGAAAAATCGATCCGGGAGAGATCTGAAGGCCACGACGTTTGGCAATCTGAGGGGTTGTAATCAGCACTTAGTAGAGTTACGCCGCCAACCAATTCCGAGTTCACGCCTGTGATATGGGTAAATGGTGTCCAATTTCTGTGCTGAAGTCCCTTTCTCGCTGAAAACACCCACTCTAGCAAGCATCAGTTCCTTCTCTGTGTTTACTCCGGAAAATGACCAGTATTAAAGAGCAATATTCTTTGAGCAAGTGCATAAACTAATTATTTCGAGACTCCTGCTTTTTTATCTAACCTATTATACGAGCAGGCTGTTTCGGTTCTACTTTGAAGAGAGCACGGAAACTGCTAAAACGCTATTGCAGTGCTGCACTAAACAAGAACACTAGCTAGCTTTACAAAGCAGATTAAGAAAGTTCCACGGGAAAACTCCATAAATCTTGAGTGGAAGTCGTTTACTGAATTGGCTATCAGTATAGCAAGACGTAGCCTGAATTTCATTCGATTACTTGAAGTTGTTATTACTCCCTCTGTAACGTCTGAATCGACCGGCCGTTAATGCTGTCCAGTGACGTCACTACTCCTTTGCTTTAATTCATGCAAAGAATAAAACACGCTTTCAAGTGGCAAACCAAGAAATATCGTTTGGAAATGTCTACATGATACAGAACAGCTGACAGAATTTCTTTACTCTTTTCGATCGTAATTAATTCATGTTTAACGTTCAAACTATCAACTGCATGCAGTACTCTGAACCGGCTGTAATTCAAACTCAGTCAATCACGCAATGAAATAAATACACTCGGAACACTTAGTTCAAAAATACAACAATTTCCTTTAATTAAAAAGAAGCTATTTGCATTGGTCCCTGACGAAGAAAAAAGAAAACAAGGAAACAGGAAAGAAAAGCTAACAGAATTATTACACTTTTGACAGTGAAAATAGCAAGAAGGTCGAATGACAACATGACATTGGTCTCGGAAACTTCGCATAAACAAAATCACTGCGGAAACCACAAAGCAGCTCTAAATTAAAAACCTACCGACTTTCCGCAATGATTCTTCATTCACAGTTCAATTGAGCAATTCAGTTTCGAAGACCAGGGCAATTTTGCTGTTTACGATAAAGATTATCGAAATGTTTGAACTCCACAAGCATGCCACCGATGCGATCCGCTGAATATCAAGCGACAATCCCGCTAAAATCTCTCATAATTATACATAATTATGCGAATGTTTAGACAATCAACCAATCAAAATCACTACCTGGTTTTCGGGTGGTAGTGACGTCACGGACGGCGTTAAGGGCTGGTCGATCCAGACGTTGCTTAGAGGAGAAAAACACTCGAAGCAATCGGATGAAATTCAGGCTAAGCAACACGCTCAAATAGTTAATTCCAAGAGTCAGCAAAATAACTTTTTCCCTAGTCTAATAACAAAACCTAGAGACTTTTTAAGTCTCTGCTTTATATAATTTGTGATCATTGGCATTCGATTTTTTTTTGTTTAACTCGTAAAGAAACTCGTGACATCCAAGTAAAGAGACAAGTATGTGCACTACTGGCTACGTGAAAATTGCCGAGGGAGCGAGCCAATTATAAACGAGATTTGATGAAACAAATATGCTGTTAAACATTTTATTTATCAAACAAAATATCAGCAAAAAAAAATTACAATAACAAGGCCATTAATGTATTTTCATCGGGTTAGGTTTAAATGTTTACCGAAATACATTTGCAATTTCTGTCACGGTGCGTCACGGGATNCCCCCCCCCCCAAATTTTTATATCAGTTGAAAGCCCATTTCCTTCTTACTTCACTCGAAAAGTTTCATTTGATTTGTGATAAAGGCAGTTGGACAAATTATGTTTTCAATTTAGCAAGCGATTTCTATAGAGTAACAGGTCCCTTTTTTTCTGGTCGGTCTCAGTGTCACAAACTCGATCGATCCTGATGGGAATCACAAGACAAAACCTGAAAAGGTTGTAGAACAGGCTGATAACAAAAAGATGTCCTCTAGCTTTATCAGTGGGGCAAGTGGGATGCGTCAAAATGACTGATTTTTCGACCAAAATTCTCTTGTGTCTGGCTGATATCGATCTTTTCGTTGTTTTCTGCCGAATCAAAAATGTATTTCACAAATGAACCACACAGCAATGAATTAATCAATATGGACTACTAATAGCCAAAGTTTCAACTATTTTCAAAATTTGAAAGTTTGCCGCACAATGTTCGATTTTTGTGGGCACGCGCTCTTAATAACGATTTTGGGAAACATAAACATGTAAAAAGTAACGAGATAATGTTTCGACGTTTAGGCGACATCATAACGACATCATAAGAATTCATTTCGATTAATCTTTTATAAAAAATTGGTAATCCCGGTGAGGTTTTAAAAAACACAAAGCCTTCATTTGCATAAGAAAGGAAAAGCCTGATGGATTCTGGCAGTAAGTAAAATTACGCCGACGTACAAGAACAGAAGGTTATTACTGTCTCTAAATTGTGCTTTTACTGCATGGTCAATGCAACTCCTATCCTAATATAGTCCAAAAATCAGGGTTCAACCCTGTGTGGTCAACTCTTGTTATTGCAGGGGTCTTCCTCGGGACCCCGAGTTAGTGTCCTTAATAGCAAACAAGAGTCCGCAACAGGGAGGCATTTATATAGCTGCTGTTAGTATTGCCGGGGTGCCCGTAATAGCAGGTTCTCCGCAAGACGAGAGTTGACCGTACGCATAGTCCTTATATCCATTTCGCTTCCGATTTCACAGTGTTTCCCTGTACTGATAAAAAAATAAGTAAGCAGTTTCATACCCCGCCTTCCCCACATCTTAACTAAAATGTTATCCAACGTAGTTTATTTAGCAAATGCATATTATTGTTAGACTCAGTAATTAGCACTGATGTGTTCTTTCAGTTAATATAACATGTTTTGGAGTTTTTTATAAGTCTTCATTGACATGATTTTTTTTCTTGTTTTTGCTCGAAATTTGCATGCAAGCGGCGCGAGTACCAAGTCTCATACCGCGAAAGGACTCGGTTCCAAGTTAGACATTTTTGGCCAGTTGCATCAAGAAGTTTTGTAATCCGCCTGATTTAATTAAGTCATTTGTGAAGCCTTCTGTGAAGAGTGTCATTAAAAATTAGGTCGCCATTACATAATAAAAATGTTTACGTTATAGGCGCTATAATCTGCAAAATGACTTAAAAGTAGTACGTTGTCCTATCTCACTTTTTCTTTCTTTGCTAAAGTTATTATAAACAGATATTGATACTGAAGTTAAAGTGTAAGTAGAGTCTTTTTTTTTAGATGGTTACTTTGTTTTTACAATAAAGCCTACTTTAATGAAATGATATAATATGTATACATATAGACTTTGTTTGCAGTTGTGTCTAGTAAGTGCCACAGTACCGGAGATTGCATCTACCGCCAGGTGTACCACTAAGATAGTACACGTAATATGAACCACAATTTCTCACTTTGATGCTTGTTGAGTAAGAATAGCAGTAACCACTACTGAAATACACCGTCCTGGTGACCTGACCGTCCGCTACTGTGGGGTGTCCTCCACTTAGCCAGCCGGGACGAGAGGCACCACAACTATAGGCAGATGGACATGATGTTGCCATTCTGGTGCCGGCAGACCCCTGGAAACGGAACCATCCGGGGCCAAGACTGCTATCACAATAAGAGTTGTACCAGTCATACGAGGTCCTTCGGGTTCTGCTGTTGAGAATCTCGTAGTTCTGACATTCTGACACAAAAGAGGAGAAAGAACATCAGTCACTAGCAACGTTTCGTTTAGTTGTACATCAGCTCGATCGCCCCATGTAAGGGAATCCAAGACAGTCTTGGATTCTGGATTCCACGCCGTGAATTCCGGATTCCAGGTACTGGATTCCAGTCTTTGTCAATGGAACTTGGGTTCTGGATTTAAATCTTTAGAAGGATTACGGATTCCAAAGCCTAGGATTGCGGATTCCACAAGCAATTTCCCAGATTCAGGATTCCACCAGCAAACATTTATTGGATTCCGGAATCCGCATTCCCTTACACGGGGCAAGCTCGAGGTAAAAGAGGGGAACTTTTCATGCTCTAAATTCCCCAACCACATCCTCACTGTTGACCAACAAGAACACGGGAAGAAAACAGCAGTATATGTTAGGCATCGTCATAAATATAACTTGCGCTAGTAAACCGATGAGTTATCTCTGTTACATACGACGTTAAATTTTGATACAGGAATACATGGATGCATGTACCGCCTTTAGCTTTGCCGAGTATTTCTNATGTTGCCATTCTGGTGCCGGCAGACCCCTGGAAACGGAACCATCCGGGGCCAAGACTGCTATCACAATAAGAGTTGTACCAGTCATACGAGGTCCTTCGGGTTCTGCTGTTGAGAATCTCGTAGTTCTGACATTCTGACACAAAAGAGGAGAAAGAACATCAGTCACTAGCAACGTTTCGTTTAGTTGTACATCAGCTCGATCGCCCCATGTAAGGGAATCCAAGACAGTCTTGGATTCTGGATTCCACGCCGTGAATTCCGGATTCCAGGTACTGGATTCCAGTCTTTGTCAATGGAACTTGGGTTCTGGATTTAAATCTTTAGAAGGATTACGGATTCCAAAGCCTAGGATTGCGGATTCCACAAGCAATTTCCCAGATTCAGGATTCCACCAGCAAACATTTATTGGATTCCGGAATCCGCATTCCCTTACACGGGGCAAGCTCGAGGTAAAAGAGGGGAACTTTTCATGCTCTAAATTCCCCAACCACATCCTCACTGTTGACCAACAAGAACACGGGAAGAAAACAGCAGTATATGTTAGGCATCGTCATAAATATAACTTGCGCTAGTAAACCGATGAGTTATCTCTGTTACATACGACGTTAAATTTTGATACAGGAATACATGGATGCATGTACCGCCTTTAGCTTTGCCGAGTATTTCTCAGGGAAAATAGGTCCGAGCATATATAAAAAAGTGCTTGAATATTTCAGGATTGACCATACTTAATAATTACAGGTAACGATATCAATTTTGTAATCATGAAGCTGATTCAATCATTCAATACTAACATTTACAAAAACGTTCTGGCAACTAACAATTGATTATAAGCCTTTTGCGTACAAAGATATGCTACTTTGAGATTTTTTTCTGTGCCAGTTATATTGTCAAAAGACCGTTAACTGAAAAGTCTTTTCTTATAAGCACTCTGCATGACCACTATAGTATATTTATACAAGGTCACTTATAATGAGAACGTAGTTTCTAAACGCATTGAGCAAGGATGCCCGATACAGCCTAAGGGTCAGCTATTCCCGTCTTGCTCGCCTTCATGACGTAGACAATAATTAGCCATTTGAGCCATTTTTTTGCAAGAAGCTAAAATTTACGTAAGAGTAAAAACAAACAAAGAAAAACAAAATACTGCATAACGAAGCAAAAAGTCGATCGTTGAATCCGTTATTTGACCAGTGACAAAAATACGCGAAGCAGGGTCCTCGTTATCCTACCCTGTTGCTCAAAATATTGCACCGCAAGATTTGTTTGGCGGGCACTATGCTGAGTCTTTTACGGAGCCGAAATCAAGAATACAACTCTAAAGACTCCATAAGACTACCATCAAAACGGAAATGAACAAAGACAGGAAAAAAAACAAAAAAAAAAACACACACACACAACGATTATTTGATTGTTCGTGTACTTCTGACTCAGAAACTTATTCACGTGTATTTCCTAATCTTATAGGTAATTCTTATTATTCGCCTCGTTATTGTTGTTCGGAAATTCGTTAACAAACTTGAAAAAGTCAGCTCCCCTTAAAGTAACCGTATAAATCGCATTAAAGTAGACTTGCCCACAAGTCGAGCCGAATACTGTGCCCTCTCGAGGCTGTTTCCTGTAGGACTTCATTAACAAACAAGGGTATTCTCCGTGACCAAACAGTGGTCGAAGGTCTCAAAAGCTTTCCTTTTAAACCGGCCAATAGATTTTAAACGTAAAACCTCTTTCGAGCAGCCAAGGTCAGCGCAAGGTGAATCACTCACTAGTGTACGGGTTTGGTAAATGAAAATCTTCCTAATTATATTATCCTCATTATCTTTTCCTAATTACCTGATGGTATATTGCAAGTTCTGCCATCTCCAATGTAAGCACTGTTACATGAACAATTAAAGGATCCCACTGTGTTTGTACATAAAGCACGTGAACTGTGACAGTCATCAGTACCGCTAGCACACTCGTCAATATCTGGAAATAAACAAAATAGCAATAAGTATATAATCA